ATCGGCGTTTGCGGCCTCATCGCGCCGTGGAACTTCCCTGCGGCCATGATTACACGCAAGGTCGGCCCCGCGCTGGCGGCCGGGTGTACCGTCGTCGTCAAGGCACCGGCCGAGGCACCCCTGACGGCGCTGGCTCTCGCCGAGCTCGCTCATCGCGCGGGTATCCCCGCGGGCGTGGTGAACATCATCACGGCCCTGGATAACACCATTTCCGTAGGGAAAGTGCTGACGACGCACCCGGTCATCAAGAAAGTGTCCTTTACCGGCTCGACGGGCGTCGGAAAGCTGCTAATGAACCAATGCTCCTCGACACTCAAGAAGCTGTCATTTGAGCTCGGCGGCAACGCCCCCTTCATCGTCTTCGAAGACGCCAATCTGGACGCGGCGCTCAAGGGCCTCATCGCGTCCAAGTTCAGAATCTCGGGCCAGACGTGCGTGTGCGCCAACCGGATCCTGGTCCACAGCAGCGTGTACGACAAGTTCTCGCAGATGGTCGTGGACGCCATCAAGACCTTTACCGTCGGCGACGGGTTCGCCGAGACGACGACGCACGGCCCGCTCATCCACAACCGCGCCGTCGCCAAGGTCGACGAGCACGTCAAGGATGCCGTCGCCAAGGGCGCGCGGGTGCTTCTCGGCGGCAAGCCCCTGACCGAGCTGGGGTCCAACTACTTTGACCTCACCGTGCTGGCGGACATGAAGCCCGGCATGAAGATCTGCTCCGAGGAGACGTTTGGGCCCGTGGCGGCGTTGTTTGCATTTGATACCGAGGAGCAGGCCGTCGAGCTTGCCAACGATGCGGACGTTGGTCTTGCGGGGTATTTCTTCAGCAAGGACGTGTCGCGGTGCTGGCGTGTGGCGGAGGCGCTCGAGGTTGGCATGGTTGGCGTAAACATTGGTAAGTTGTCCAGTTGTGAGAGCATTTGATGTCAGGCTTTTGCTAACGAGCTGCTTCTAGGAGCCATCAGTGATCCCGCCGCGCCCTTTGGTGGCGTGAAGCAGAGCGGATTTGGCCGCGAAGGAAGCAAGTACGGCATTGACGAGTTTTTGGTCACCAAGATGGTAATGACTGGTATTGAATAACGCCGCTTTTCCTGTCATGTTTTCGTTTCTTTCTTAGACTATACCCTACCAAGTACCTTACATGATAGAATAGAATACCGGTCCACGCAAGAGTTTCACTTTCCTTATGACCACTACCATTAGTATCCCCTGACTACGTGTCTTGAGGCATAGTTTATATAGACTAGTGTATAAAGAGCGAAATCTCTTGAGTGACGAAGATTATCAACAGGACAGCGGGAGTAGGAGTAACAGAGATAGAAGCAAGATATTGAAAGGAACTAGTTTGTCACCCACCTATCTACCTTCTTTTGTAGGCAGTTAAGTGTAGCTTACTCCCAATGCTGCTAGTGTCATTATTTGAAAGGAATCGGTGTCTAAAGTCATCACTTTTGAAAGCCAATAGGCTATCAGGGTTGGAATGGTCAGCAAGATGAGAAAGGGGAATGCGGTTCTAGACCACAAACCTCACCATGAGTGTACCCCACTAGACCATTAAGGTGTGATTGACCCTTCCATGTGAAGAACACGTTTCTTTTTGGCTCTGGGAATATAACCACATGAAGGTCATGACCCATATTCCAAGTAGGCTCCGTGGCTCCAATCCACTAATTTAAGGTTGTGTATTGCAGGTTTATACTGACTTGCATCAGGCATCAAAAGGTACTCCCTCCTCTTTGAGATTCGCCCAGTCAAGTTACCAGGGGACCTTGGTCTTCCTATCATTTTAGTCTAGTAGTCCAAAGATGGGCACCTGCTAGACGATAAAAGGGCATGAAGAGATTTTCCTACAGGTGAATCCCTATTATCCTGAAAGAACACAAAGAAAAGGTAAATCATTCATTCATTGTCCAGTTGGTCACTTGCTGCCTGGATATGTGCCTTTTTGGCAAAACCCTCACCGAGCCACCTGTCACCCTCCCTTTGTGCCGACCTGGAGCCTCAGGCGGGAGACAACCTGAAATATCTTCACTGTAAAGAGGATCATCTTATCCATCTCAAAGTGGAGTCAGGTGACTTCTAGGCAGTACGGGAGGCAAAGTAATGGACTGAAAGCCTTTCACATTCCCGTCCATTTGAAAACCTTCTTCTAGCACCTTGGAGGCTGTAGGCAGATATTCTTTCTCCCTTAAAAAAGAAAAAACATCCTTCCTATTAATACTCGACCTGGACACCTCTTCTTTTGGTCCGATTTGCGCCACGCAAATTCTACTTCTTCTCAAATCGCGCGCCTCTTTCGGAAGATCACGCCCAATTCGGTCTACTATCACTTGACTCAACGGTCTCATCGCATGCGTGGTATCTGCATACAACTCGCTCAAGATGCCGCCAAAGGCTCCCATTCAGCAACCTGAAGTCTCTGACGATGATTCCGGTGAAGATAGCATCGGAGCCATCGAAACATCACCGACAATCTTGGCGCAGCCAACGGGATCTCAACACAACCAGCCCCAACCTGGAGCTCAGAGCGCCTCGACCCAAGCAATTCCCATTCGCTTGACCAACGTTCCGGTGAAATACTCGTCCGAGTACTCTACCTCTCCGGACTCAGCAACTCCATTCATTCAGTCCATGACCTCCTCATACGAAGCACAACCGCCTTGGCCGTCGCGCGAGCATACTCCGCCTTCTGGGTCTGAGGATGGTCCGCCCAAAGGCAAGCAGCTGCCATCAACGGCTGAGCAACCCCCCAAGAAGCAAGATGGGCCCTCGGACGAGCAACTTCAAACTCAACTGCAACCGAAACCGGAACCGCGATCAGGCGATCAACTTCCTACCGACACGAAGCCTGCACCCTCACCACAAAATGTGCCTTTCATTGACGATGACAACCTGTCCAAAGACTTCGAACAATACGAGAAGGGAAGCAAGCTGGTGCTCACCTACCAATCTCCGCGCCGACCTTACGGTCGTTCCGAGTATCCCAATCCTCCAGGCATCGACAGCGATGACAAAGTTCTGTCCGAAGCCGAAAAGCGCCTCTCTCGCACTGGCTTGGTCTATAACGACCGACATATCAGCAATCCTATTGCCGACCAATACAAGGCCACTGTCTACCTCACCGTCATGAAAATCATATCCGGTGGGCCTGTTGCTGGCACCCAGGTCATTCTGTGCAAAGTTGACGAAGCCAATTACGATGACAGGATGTCCAAGAAACAAAAAGGAACCTTGCTTCGAAGCGTTTCACTCTTGAGAACGAAAAGCACACGGGTGAAGAAGCGATTTGCCAGGTCCTCGATCGCGAACTTGTTCAGCCAGGAGAATGAGGGTAGTTCCTCTCTATCTCGAGGGACCGGGGGTAAGAAAGAACCAGACGTCGCCGGCAAGGCCCCAGTTGTGGAATCTCTCGACGGTGAACGCTTGACCGTGGGTCAGCTTGCAGTCCTCAAGGTGTACGATGCCATGTTCTACCCCTTCCAGTATGGAATGTATCAAGGGCCCTGGAAGGTTACATCTAGAGCTGATCAGGAGCACAGTCGCGAGGCCGGTGCTTATAAGCATCTCTGGACTCACAAGAAGACTGGATATCCACACCTTGCACCTCAATACTACGGATCCTGGGCCATCAAGCTGACGACTACAAATTCAGTCGTGGAGGACAAGCAACGATTCGCCAGAGCCATCATCATGGAGTACATTGAAGGCACCAGCATTGAGGAGCTTTGTTTCCGGACCGCCAAAGAATACCTTCTAGTTCCTCGAAACATGAAGCAGTGCAAGATGGCCGATGGCACCACTTGGGATCTTGATAGGAAGGTTCGCTTGGACGTCTTCAAGGAGCTCCTGGATGGCTACGTAAATATGCTTCATCACGGGGTTAACATGCGTCTCGATCCCCAAAACATTCTTCTCACGGGTAAACGCGGAGACGAGGTTCTCAAAGCAGAGCAACCTCGTGTTGTGGCAATTGACTATGTCGATGCGATGATCGACGATGAGAGGAAGGAGCCTCTCAGGATCTACCAAATTTGGGAGAAGCCGCCTCATCCCTGGGGCGAGACGTCTTTGCCAAAGATGCAATACTTTCACGGCTGGTTTCCCCATCATTGGAAGCCAGGGCACTTCGACAGCTGGCTGATTCGCACTTTCGGACAACTTGACGACCCGAAATATACGGATCCCAATATTTCGAAGAACCCTGAACTGTCGAAGGCCCGTCAGGCATCAAAGCAACCTGAACTGGACCAAGACTCTCAACCTTCGCATTCTTGAGCATACGTAACGCGAGTGGTGAGGGGGTTTCTATCATGATACAACGGATACAACGCCTTGGGATTGATCCCCGGCCAGGAGACACTGAATGTGGCGGACTGAAAGTTTGGAGTCGGGTATGGTGGAGGAGGCACATCCACAAAGTGATATCAATACATCAGATAAGGGGATGAGAATTAGAAGCATTCGAACGCGAATGAACCAGAGATGATTCTGATGAATATCTTAGTTAGGGTCGGTCTTCCCTCAGCAGGAAGCTCATTGCTGTCAGTAGGTAGCTCAACATGGAATCGCTTTGATGAAGCCCACCTGACTTGGTGCTTTGAGTGAGTTGAATGGGAAAAGATTTCCCGCTGTTGAACATGGGGCATTTTATCCAAGGTGCAGAAACATGCTATGCTGGTGCGCCAAGTAGTGGTAGTGGCACCTAGAAATTGAGAATGTTTTGAGTCGCAAGCTAAGCATCCAGTCCACTGCGTACCTTTACGCACTTACCTCTGTTTCCGTCGTTGCTCTTATCCCTGTTACTACTATTCTTTCAACCTAATGGGTTCTACTCTTGATGTGTTCCTTGAAGAATGGTCTTCAAGAAGCGTGGTGAGGTAGTGGTCGTGAGAAAAGTGGCCTCCCTGTTCAACCTAATGCTGCTACGACATTGTGACTTTTCTGCTATACTTGGGTACATGAAACCAGTTACTCATCATGTCTAGCCGCTACCTTCATTAAATAGTACCCTTCTCATCCTGTGCGCGGAGCGGAGTCTTCTCATCATGCTCCTCCTCTGCATTGCCCAACGAAGCAGTCTTTCTCATGAGCTCACGAACCATCGTGTCGTCTTGCTTGCGCTGCTCCCCGCGCTTCCTCTCAGCCTCCTGCATCCTCTCGCGTTCCTCAAAATCCCGAATTCTCCGAGCTGCTCCCTCCCTGCGTTCTTGTTCCTCACGCCGAGCGTCCTCCTCGGGGTTGTCGGTGGAGCGACGGAGCGACGTGGTTTGCCACACTGCGACCATGACGATCACCTGGAAGAGCGCGGCGGAGACGCCAAGCATAGTGAGGCCGGGGTCGGGCATGATGAGATATCTTGTCTGCTGAAGTATGTCAGAGATATTGCGATCGGCTACTCACATGCAGAGGGACTTACTGCGTAGAATAGAGGTTGTTATGTCGATTTCAATTCTTGCTTCGGTGGGCGCGTTCAAGTCTGGCGCAGTGTGATGTATCTTTGCGGGTGCGTCTTGGTGGATGAGTATGGACGGTCTGATAATTATTGTAGATGAGAAGGAGACAGAGGAGAAAGATTCTCCCTCCCGAAAGAGGATGCCGGAAAGGTCGGCTTTATGATTCAGGACAAAAGATTTCTTCCGCCCGTGGGTTTGTAACACCTTTTCGGCGGTGTACCTCTGTGAATACGGGGGACACGGAAGCCAGCCAAAGTCCGAGGGCTTCGGGTCCGAGTGGGGCACATCGGGGGCTTAGGTGGTGGGCCGAGCAGCCCCGGCCCTCCGGGTGCCACCCCGCTCTCCATAACCGAGATCCACAATTTCTTCTCAAGATGACGGCTGACGGCGAGAACCATGTGCTATGAAAACCTAATGTCAGGTAACTAGGTAGGCTGGTAGATCACTGAACGCCTACTTGGCTCCTGGAGCTTTTCTTTCTCTCGAAAAAATAAAGTAAAGGATGTAGGTTGGCTGGAGGGCACCCAGATGACTCCAACCACAGTCTATGGTTTGCTTGAGAAACGTACCACTAGTTTGGCGCTTGCGTAGAGTAAGCAGAGATTGACTCTCCATTTGAGTAGAAACGTATACGAGGATTTGTGATGTAATCATCCCACGTTCTCTGTCCTGCAAAATGTCATGAAGGTCACGGAGGCCTTCAATCGTAAAAGCTCGTCGCTTGACAAAACTATAACGGTATTCTTCACACGTATGGAGTTCTGGGTCTTGATGTTTTGCGTAATATGTGCAATGTGTGATGCATCAAGCATGATATTTACGTCCTCGACGGTAAAATAGTAAGATATGTACATGAATCTGTCGTTGGTCTCTTTGCGTGTGCCCGACTCAACACCTCCCCCAATTATAACCACTGAAAAACTCCAACAGGAGAGATAAAAAGGGAGCAAGTAATCCAAGCAAAAGCGCTTAGAGCTTGCCGAAGCCGGCGCTGGTGGCAACAGCCTTGGCGTCGTTGGCGGTGCCGGCAGAAGCGACGTTCTTGCCGGCGAAGTTGGCGAGGATGGAGGTGTCGGAGCCGACCAGGGTGCCGCTGGAGCCGTAGGCGTTGAGCTGGCAGGCGTGGCCGAGGTTGGTGGAGCACTTTGCGTTGGTGGTGGAGTCGGGGGAGGCGAAGACCTGGCCGGCGAGACCGGTCTGGTAGGCGGCGACGACGTTCTGGAAGATGTTGCCCTCGGCGACGATCTTGGCACCGGCGTCGGCCTCGAACGCGTGGCCGGAGTTGTCGTACCAGTAGTTGTTGACGGCGTGGAGGAGACTGTGATGGATCCTTGTTAGTCGGAAAGTTCGCTAGCACCAAAACCGGCAGGAATTATACGTACGTGTTACCGGCGACCTTGGGGGCTCTGCCAGAGGTGTGGTGGACGTAGTTCTTCTTGAAGGTGACCATGTCGTTGCTGCCGGTGAAGTAGAGTCCCCAGTAGTGGTGACCGTCGCAGGTGGCGGACCAGGAGGACGAGCCGTCAATCTCGTTGTTGGAGATGGTGACACGGTTGGAGGCGCCGTTGCCGAGGACGATGTGCTGGCGGCCGATCAGGGAGGTCTTGACGTGGTCGATCCAGACGAGGTCGGAGCCGTCGAGAGTGATGGCATCACCACCCCAGACGTACTTGGGGTTCAGGTTGGTGATGTGGATGTTCTAGCACTGGTAGTTAGCCCCTGGCCGGCATGATAGTGACTAGTCCAGTGAAATAAGTCTTCATACCTGGATGATGATGTTCTTGGCGCCGCCGGTGATGCGGAGACCCTTGCCAATGATGACACCCTTGCTGCCCTGTCCGATGAGGGACTTGTTGGAACCGAGCTTGATGGGGTTCAGGCCAGCGTTGTCGTAGCTATGAAGTGAAGAAGTTAGTATCATGAAAGTCACTGTATACCCGCAGGATGTAAGTGATTCTCTACGTACGTCGTGGAGACCTTGGGGGCGTTGGGCTGGTAGTTGGTGCACCAGTTGTCCTTGTTGATGGCAGTCTGGCAAGCAGAGCCAGTACCCCAAGGAGCGCAGCCGGTGGCAGTGGTGGTACCCTCAGTGTTGCGGAAATCAAAGGTCTTGGTCAAGACGATGACGCGGGCGGAGGAGTCGGTGAGGTAGGAGACGAGCTCGGAGGTGGTGGAAGGGTAGACGGGAGTGGCGCTACCACCACCGGTGGTTCCCTTGGCGAAGCCCTCAGCGGCGCCAGAGACGGCGTCGGCTGCGAGAGCCAAGGGGGCGAAGGCAGCCAGTGCCACGGAGAGAAGAGCAGATCTCATATTTAGAAGGCTTTCGAACAAGAAGAATAAAAAGGTAGATACAAAAGAACGAAGAGGGTTTGGTCGGATGTAAAAGAGAGACAAGAGGACGAAAGCCGCTGGAGTAAGAAGGGAGCTTCCAAGTCAAAGAGCGCGGCTCAAGGTCGATCATATATGTTTGTTTGGAAACTGTGCCGCTGTTCGACGCCGCTCCTTCAACAAACCCCCTTCCTCCATGTCTTCCATCTCCTTTCCCAGGCAACCCAGGTAGTACGGATAGAGTAGCCCCCTAACCACCAAGCCTTCGAAGAGAACCCCCCACCAGCAGGGCCAGACGAAGGCCTCATCTCATCTCACAGCTCCTCATCCTTCTAGGCCTTCGAAAGAAAAGCACGCCCCCAATTGCGCAGTCGGCCGAGGAACATTGCTTAACCCACCCACACTACTTTCCGAAGAATCATGGCGTTGGGTGCCGGAGCCGACTTGTTCGAGGGATAGAGTGGTGGGTAATCCCCACTGATTCGTGGGGATTTGCTGCGCTCTGTGACCCCTTCATCTACCACGTCACCCCCGTCCGGCCCGGGGTTGCGGTGATAGCTTCGGCGGCACAATCCGAATCGAGCCCGTCGACGAAGACGTTCGGCCTAGCTCGCGGGCCCTCGCACGGCCTCGCATTCGTCTGTGGCGTCACTTCCATCAATGAAAAGACGAACAGAAATCTCCGCTGGTAGGGCCGCGTTAAGGGGGGGAGGGGCGGGAGTTGGGAAGTGTGGCTGCCCCCCTCCCGGAGACTAGAGACTGCCAGCGATGGAGCACGGAGAGGACCTGCTGCAGTGAGATGTCACGGGGTCACGGGGTGTCCAAACCAGTCAGCACTCATGTCCACGAGCGGCAGTTCGCGCTCCTAGGGTACCATTCATTTTTGAGAGGAGAGACTACTCCGTCTGCAAGGTGCCAAACATGGGTTCAGAGAAATTTCCGCCACTAAGGACACATGGGATCCGAGAAAAGGGAGCTCCAAAATGCAGAGCACCACGCTCTACTCCGTAAGCTCTCCATAACTCGTTCCGATGAAACGGTTGAAAATTTCCCGGTTGATGGCGTCTTACTAGGTAGGTATGCGTACTTTCTGACATTTGTTAGCATTAGCAAACTCGGGCACGCCACAAACGCCGCCCTGCGGCACAGACATGGAAGAGCAATACGCGCGTGGGCATTGGCATACTCTAACTCACAGAGACTGAGAGACCCAGTAATCCATCAGAACAAATCAGGGGTTGTGAGAAAATAAACTAACAAGCTTCTAGCCTCGGCCTGTCTCCGACTCTACGTGTGACAATGTCACATACCGCAGTACTATGTCGTCCTGAGAAGGGATAAGATCTGTTAAGCATAAACCGCGGTAGGCGCATCAGGCTCCATTTATTTGGCCCAAGCTCCTTCGTGGACTTTAATTTTTACTTTTCGGTTACACGTGTATTGTGAGTCGTGACGGCAGTCAGTCTTCCCCCCCGTACTGCAAAAAAGAAACCTTTTTCTCAAGGACGTGGTCTGCGGAGGGAGAGAAAGTCAATCGGAAGCAGAAAAAACACACACGCCATTTCTGCTTGGTGCGGGTTGTCTCTCCTTAGTGTTTCGAGTCAGGATGGCATGGGCAGCCGGATGCCTCGAACGGGGTTAGTTTGGACGGGCTGATTATGAGAACTAGGCGGCTAATGCCTTTGGCTGACATTTCTTCTCCTTCGCAATCCGTGCCCATTCAGGGGTGAGATCCAATCCCGGGCAGAATTCGTACACCAAAAGTTGTCAAGGTCCCAGAGACCAGGATATGCATGCCAAGAAATAGATTGAGCCTCAAGCCCAGCCCACGAGGAACTCGAGGAAGCCCCATATGGAGGAGCCACAGCCCACAGGGAGCCACATCTTGAACGATATCCGTTATCAAGCCACAAGGATGACGAGGATGAATTGTGGTTCCCGTCACTTCTTCAAAGGATCGACTTTTCCGGTGAGATGGAAACTCTTGTGGGAACTCTGGGAACAGCACCACAACACCCAGTATTCCCGACCTGTTCCCTTACATCCCTCTGGCCATCAAAATTGGATCTCGGCTCTGTTTGCCGGGACACACGGCAGCAGCGGTCAGACCGTCAGAATGGCGGATAGAAGCGAACCAGAACCTCCAAAGCCTCCAATCATCATGGCTGACCTGAACCTGTGTTTACTGTGATCGGCAACTCTCTTTCCTGGGAGGGAACGCTGTTCCATAAAATATGGCTTTGTGAATTGTCAAGGTGCCATTCAAAGTTGCAGTTCATATATTTATATTAACTTCTCGGTACGAACCCCCTCTCCCCTCCTTGTCTTACCAATGCTGATGGAGGCGAATTGAATTCGATTTCCCACTCCCCCCCACCGTCCCGACCCGGGCGTCGTTTTCCCTTTGCCCATACTACGTATTGCCAGTTCGCAAACTCATACGACTTTAAACTTCACCAGGGGCTCTGGTATTCTCAACAAACTCTCTCTCGCGTGCCAAGATCTCCTTCTCAGCCTTGGTGTTACCCTCCTTGGGCAGGTACGAGAAGATGACAGGAATCAGC